AACCAACAACGACCGAGACATGTCCTGTACTATTGGTCTTAAAAAGAGTCCTGTGTGTGAGAGCTGTCAATTTAACCGTTTTGGTTTTAGTAATGAAAAATGAAATCCGTCAGTTTCGTTTTTTCGCCGATACTTCACAAATCCGTTGACCGATGACCCAAATTGTTGAAGTCGCTTATCAAATGCTTTTGCATTTAACCTTTGCTGTAGGTATCATAAGAGCGGAGAGATCCTGAATAAAGAAGCGATTATGTTGCCTTCTAATCTTCAGACATATTTCGTCTAACTCAAGACCATTATCTTTATTAATCTTCTCGTCTCTTTTACTGATACATTTGAATCATCGAGAATGGACACATCAAGTAGGAGGCACATTTTCTGATTTGACTCATAAAGGACTATATCTGGTTATCCCAAATGACTGTTATATAGTTGATCCAATGCAAATACTACTTTATTATGTTTGTGGGTATACTCCAAGTGTGGAACATCCAGCAGTTATGAGGTTTATATGTCCTTCAGCCACATTAGGGATTCTGCATCTTCTGCCAACGTTTTGCTTAAGGATGTTCTTTTGGAAGTGTGTTGTCTTGATCGAGTCTTGATCTAGGGATTGATCTTGTCCTGCTATTATTAGATTTTCAGTTTCCCCATTAAGGCCATCACTACGCAACCATCCCATACTTTTCCCTTTATCGACCCACGCTTTGTCCAGGTTCCGAAACCACGCAGCGATTTTTCTTTAAACAATTCTATTTTCTCCCATTCGATGTTACTTTTTGGGCGTGCTTGACACTTCGGAGTGCGGTTCTAAGTATTTCGTTATAATATTTCCAGACTCTTTTTGTGAGTACTGTGCTTTTAATCGATCATAACTGCCGCCTGCTCTGCAAAATCTGTGATTCTCCATGCAATCGCTAAAGCCAGCAATGGTTAAGTCATATGCCGATTCAAGGTCAATAATTCCTCTCCCACCATTTCGTCGTTTGATATAAGGTCTGCTCTCGATTAGTGAATTGGTGTTAAAAGCTTCCGGATTTTATTATTAATTCCTTTGTTATTATAAGTGTACGCTTACGAAATACATGGTTTTCCAAACCAACCCCTTTATTAAAAGTTCATTGACATGTAATTTTAAAACGCCTTTAAATTTTTGGCGTGAAGGTAACGGGACTACATTTTTAAAATATCTTCCTGTCTCTTCCGGTTCAACCGTTCAAAAGTTAAATACAAAAGTTAATGGGGCTCTTTTGACATCTAGATCTAAAGACGCATTTCGGGTTAAATCTTCAGGGATCTCTGCAAAATGCAACATTTTAGTAAGTTGTTCTTCATTATTCAAAATATGACGTCTATTTTTTCTTTCTTTAAAGCTCCATGTATTCTAAAGTGTTGGTAAACTTTTTTCTGGGCGCCACCTTAATGGAAATTTTCTAATATAATCTCTAAGCGCCAGGGTCCGGTTTTTATTGTTCGATATGTAACTTTCTAACATATCAATCTTTTCCTCCGTGGCAAACATAATACCCAAGCAGCCTTCTAGCACATTAAAAAAAAATCTTTTTGGCAGTTTTTTTTATTCCATTTTTAATCTAATTTTTCGTGTACTCTGTATTAATATGTATCGAAGTTTCTTATGAAATCCGTTATTAGATTCGGCAACAAAACTTACTGAAGTGAAACAATAAAAGCTTCCGAATGAAAAAATTGGCAGATATTTTAAGTCTTTCAAACGTAGTTTTTCACATAAAAAATTAAAAATGTAAAAACGGTTAGACTTGGGTATATTATACACAAAATATGTCAAAAATTTCGTATATAATTTAAAAATGAATTAAAATAACAAAGTTGAGACTCGCCTAGGAAAAATGAAACTTCCTGTATATACAACATTAAAATAAATTCGAGGTTTGTAATATACCAATTAGCTTTTGTATTTAACTTTTGGCTCCATCTCCTATAGTTTCTGAGATAAAGTAGTGTCCCAAGATAAACGGCCCACTCTATACAATGTTTTACCATTTTTGAAATATTTAGCGTTGAAACAAAATCTATGCCTCCAGCTTAACCAACTTGTAAAATGCATATTTTTGGAGTTATTGAAAATTTGGCAAAATGTAAAAAAAAAACTCGCGTCGACATTTTCGTTACTTTTGTTGTCCACTTTAATACAGGGTGTCCAAAATTATTCCGCAAATATTAAGGTTTCCAAAGTCCTTTTTTTTATATTGACACTCTGAAAGTTTAAGTGTTATCAAGTCCAAGATTTATTTTTCTATCAAACTGCATTAGTGCTATTCCGAACCATATTCAAAATGATAAAGTTTCTTAATATCAAAATTTTCCCCTCTGATACTTGGGTATAGAAAAACAATTATTGTGTTCCATTGTGAACAACAAATGATTAGTGTAGTAATAATAATATTCAGACGCACAAGTACGATACCATGAAACAATCTAGTTATTACCATTATGGTTCAGAATAGTTATGGTCTGTTCATAGATATAAGAAAGTGACCAATTGCTTTTATATGGGATACAATGCAACAAAATTATTACCTAAAGTTTCCAAATTTAAATTCCGGTAAAATTGTGGTCCGCAATGGAAAATAATTTTATACCTACCTGTGTTTAATATTCTTTGGTTTGGTATACTACTAAGTTTAAGTTTATTAGTAACCATTCTTATTTTGTGTATAATAAAGCGTGAGTTGAATTGTGTGAGAATTATGCAAAATATATGCGAGTCTAGTGTATCTCAGGAGATGCTCCCGCCCAAATGTAGAAAACACTATTCTATTGGGACTAAGGAAGTTATAAACAATGTTTATTTCACTCCCATTGAGCGTGGTGCCAGCAATCAAACATCTTTAGAAGAAACGGCCACATTGACGAAAATTCCAACATCAACTGTATGGAAAATTGTGAAGAATCCCATCTTAGCGAGAAAAAAAAAGCGATGCTGACATTTTCTCGAGTGTAGATGAAAGTGATGAGGATATAATACGGCGTAAAATTTACCAGTTATATGAGGAACAAAGCGTGCCTACATTAAATATCTTAATTAGGAGCCTTAAAAAAGATGAAACCGGTGTTAAATGTGGCAGAACTACCTTATGGAAGTGTACTCAACACATATCCCGGAGAAGGGTTGGGTTGACTCAACTGATAAGTGTAAAACAAAGGCGTCATCAAAGGGAGGTAAAAGAATAACTATTTTGCATGCTGGCTCTAAAGATGGTTGGATTCCAAGTGGACTTTGTCTGCGAAAAATATTAAAGATTCTTCTATGGATTACCATGAAGACACCACCGCTGCTTTATTTGAAAGTTGGTTTAAAAACAAACTAGTTCCAAACTGTAATTGACAATGGACAATGGACAATGCAAGTTATCACAGTAGACAGTTGACTAAAACCCCTTCCTCATGTGACACAAAAGCAACAATCCAAAACTACATGTATAATAACGACATTTATTTTTATTATTTATATCAAAAAGCAATTAATTGAGGTTCTACAAAGCTTGAACTTACAAAAGGAATACGTCTGTGATAATTATGCAAAAAATCTAGGGCATTTGGCAGTAACTGAAATCTGCCATTCGTCGTAACAATGATTCTCCCCGTGCCAATGTCCTCAAACTTATAGAAACCCAAGTTTTTAACATCCCTCCACAAAGTTGGGCAAATTCTGTTAAACATATAGAAAAAGCAGAACAATCGTATCCCCATATTGCAAATAATATAGAACAAATAATATTAGAACAGGCGATGATAGCGATAGTGATACTGATATATTATGTGAATAATTTTAAGTACTTTAAGTAGGTAATGAAAATAATTTGCAATTTTATTTTAGATTTAAACATAAATACATACTTAAATAAATAAATATTGTTTAGTTTCTTTCCTAACAAAACCTCAATTAATTAAATTCTAAGCAAAGTACGGACCTGTTCGGCCATATTTCATTCTTACAGCTTGCCCGGGTCTTTCCTTAATTCGTATGAGTTAGTCACTTTCTTATATCTATGAACAGACCATATATTTAACTCTAATGCAGTTTAATAGAGAACTAATAGGTCCTGCACTTGATAACTCTTAAAGTTACAGAATGTCCCATTTGAAAAACCCGAGTTTAGGCTTTGAAAATGTGAATGTTTGCGGCCTAATTTACCAAATCTTTTTCTTCTTATTTGTGTGTTCCCTACTTTTATTTGATAGTTTTGTTTCCATCACTGCTTATTTGTTTAGATTATTAACTATGTCAAATGACATTTGATAAAGACACGGTGTTGTCGAAACAATTGTCATGTGAAAATATATAATTTCGTGAAAATCTGAAGTTTTAGTTCTTATTTATTTTGTTAAATGGATTTTCATCAAGTAAAAGCCACGTCAGTTCAATTTTAGAAATAATATTCTAAGCGTTATCAAATTTACATTTGAATAGTTAGTTACATCACACCTGAATGAAACTTTAAGCTTTCAACGCAAGTAGCTATTGCATAGAAATCATAAACCGTAGTATCAAGTCTATACTACTGCTACTTACGGCTACCTAACTAGGGAATATATTACTTGCAGCCACTAATAAAGTACTCGTTCTATGGAATTAGTTTACTGCATTTCATCAAATTTACATTTGAATCGGTATTGAAATCACTTAAAAGAAGTATATAAATAATATGTAATATGTATATGTATAAATCTCAACTTCAATGGTTAGTTATTACACTTTGAGCTCTTAATACAAAACATTATTGTATTGGAAAACTGACAAATTTCAAAATAGTGGACAGAATATATATTGTTTTTTTAGCTTGAAGTATAGTAAAAAATTGGTATCCAGTATTACACTATTACACATCTTCCAGGGGAATTTTTCATTTTCAGTATTGCCTTAAGTGTATTTAACGTTGTTAATTTTTTTTAATTTATTATTTTTTTACTGCATTGTAAAAATGAGATTTTTAACAATATTGTTATTGATTTTACAGGTAGTGAAGACACTCGATTGAAGCGGATTGAGGACACTAAAGGCTTGCAGGTAATGACTTTGTAATAAAAATTACTAAAGAAAAACGCTGATAAACAGACGCACAATATAACATCGACCACGGCACTATTCACTTAATCTATTTCTGACCCTTACCTTTAAATGGTAAGTTAATGAAAAATTAATACATTAACCCATTAATGCCCACATTTTTTTGGGAAAATTGACATTTTTTTTTAGAGACTGCACCCGTATTTTGGATTTTGGATTACCAAACATAGAAAAAATATTATGGAAATAAGATATCAAATTTTTCAAAAAACTGCTGTCCTCGTATGAGGACGCTGGATAATATCATATAAAAAAATCAAAAAATTGTGTGAGTTTATTCTGATTTATTTGAAATATAGGAGTTACTTTTTTTATGAAAATCGGTAAAACAACCAAACACGCAAAGCGTAATATTGCATTTTTTGCAAATTGTTCTTGGTTCTTCTTGGTTTCCCTGTGCAGTTTATCATTTGACATCTTCTTTGTTTTTCCTTTTTGCCAATAGAGTGGTTTCTTCTGTGACACTTTATGTCATCTGACCATCCAATTGTTTTGACTTTCACAGCCAATTTCCAAGCCATGACTAGTTTTAAAATACGGATAGACAATATCCATACGAAATTTCTTAATGAACATCCTTTTTTGCCCCTTGTGCACGATATTGTAAAGCATAAAACCATTCGCACTAGCTATCATTCTAGTGAAAAAGCGCCAATACTATTCCCTTCCCTCTAACAGAAATGTGATGTTTCTCTAGAAGCGAATAATGGTGGTCAACACTTCCCATAAATTTATCGTAGTTAGTGATTAGTTGTGGCTGTGCGTTCGTAACTTTCTTTGATCCTGCTTTTTCCATGTTTGTAGTTACATTACAGAAATGACTGTGTCATAATTGGTGAGACATTTGTTGTCATTCCATTGCTTACAAGAATTTTATTGTTATTGTCAAGTTGCCAGTCACATAACCCTCGAGTCTCCTTTACTACAATCACACAGGAGATTATAATTATAACTTGTGAAAAAATTATCGAAATACACTTTGTCTCTTAGGGTTTTCATTTACTTCTAAAATATAGGTGACAGCTCGTGTTTCTAATGTTGATTTGAGTTCGTCAGATGATATTACACCGTTTCAAACCGTATCTTATCGATTTTGCTTTTATAAACCCTTTTATTGGGTGAGGTCCATAATACCTCACAATCATCTCATCAATTGACCGGTGCCCTATTGTCTAAAACGTTCATTTAACATTGTTAGCAAAGGTCTAATTTTGAATAATCTGTCATGTTTGTTTTCATTTGCTTGAGAGTTGTCGATAAAGTGAATCCTGGATTTCAGTTCTCATAATCTCTCTCACTAGGCAACGAGTGATATCCAGTAAAAATCAAAATCCCACTAAAAATTTTGTTATTCGTGTTCATTTTTTTGGGTTCCTGTATATCGTATTGTCTCTGTGGCCAGTAAATCGTAAACGGTCTCGTCAAAAAGATATTCGAAAATTTCTAACGGTATAGAATTCGATAATTGGTCTCCTATGACTTCATACAACAAAAAACCACCCCAAAAGATGACCTCGACCTAGTGGTGGTGTGGTATACCAGACGGTACAATATACAGTACCTTACCCTACTGCCTGTAGGAACCCCAACCCAAAAAACCCACTTCTAAAGGTGATCTCACCGTGCTGTTTTGCACACCATCTCACAAAACAAAGCAAGGTTCACAGAGCCTTGTACATCCCTTTAGTTGGAGCTGGCGTTTGAGTCGTAACCACTGGCATTACAATTTATTTAGTTAGGATCAGATTGCGGAGTGTACTTTAAATTCCTCAAACTTAAGGTGCCAAGTTTTCTGCAGACAGAGCTCGCTAGCTTAACTGGTCACCCATCTTTTCGAAACACTCTCTATCTGGAACACCTCTGAGATTAAGGATACGTGTCGAATTCGTTAGCCCTTCTAAGAAATATATTACTTAACGAGAAACGCAAAAAAACTAGAGAGGCAATTAATTTGGTACATTATTTCTTGTACCAATCATGTGAATAAACATCATTGCGGTAAGAGCAAACAAAATTATATAAATAAAAATAAGTCTAAATCATTTGCCAAAAATTTGCTGTCGCTATATGCGAGAGGAAAGATTTTCACGCGCAAATAAAGCGACTCAAAATTTTCAACAAAGCTTTGAGAATCAAACGTAATGGAAAAGTCAAGTAAAACGCTGCGTCAGGCAGACGGACCATCCGCTAGTTAAAGTTTTATGGACAATAAGGCAAAAAATAAAATGTAACCTAGATTTCTTTAAAAGCGAAAACTTTTCTGTCTACGCAAACTTCCGAAATTTTAAGATAAGGCTATCTTAAACTGGCGACTTCCCTTATACACCGGGGGTTTCTACAATATTATGAAAAAGTTTATGATATATGCGAAATGTTAAAAAAATAGGCGAAAAATTTGGATTTTGAAATAGTTCCTATATGAGATAATTATTAATCTCTCAGTAATACATTAAAGTCTATTTTTAATCTTGAGTATGAGTATCTTCTATTTGTTGTATGTTTTATATATTTCCAAGCAATTTTTTAAAACAGATATAAGAGGGATGCTGTATGCCGTATGCTGCCAAAACCATGGGGCACGACTTTTGTGCCCTCATGGTCAAGAATATACACCCTAACATACGTTTTACCCTCTCATTTGAAACTAATAATAATCTCCCATATTCTTGTTAATAGAAAATCAAACCTAACATTGGGTTTACCAAAAAGCTAGGGACACAGACCGATTCCTTAATGCATTCTCACTTGATCAACCATCCCAGAAGTTTTCGGTTATCAACTTTCTTGTTGAGAGATCTGTAAAACTATCTCAACCTGAATCACGAATACACTTCACCAAGAAAACGAATCCAAGGGCAACCTTACACGTGCCACTGTGGTCCTCCTTTCTTACATTTAAAATGTTACTGACTACATATCTAAAATTCTTAATGCTGAAACCAAATTTACTACTTCTCCCAAAGTCTCTCATATTCGATTAAAGAATTTAGGAAAACGCGATTTTCTACAGTGGATGCTGAGGATTACTTTAACAGATATTTTCACCATAGCGGCCAACGTTGCCAGCTTTTAAAAGGCTTGTTAATTTTAATAATACGAAATAATAAATAATATACTGATTGGAAATAACCGTAAAAATCTAACTTTATTCCAGTGGCTATCGCGATCGCTCCTGACGAAAAAAAAACACTGGTAACCAAATGTGCTTAATATTAACTGTTTTTCTTCTTCTTCTTTCTCAGTTACTGTCTCGCCGTCTGCACTCCCAGACATAGGCCTCTTTCTATGCTGTCCTGTACTGTATTTGCTTGAACTATCTGTTTTAATCGTTTCTGGGATCTTTCTGTGCTTCGCTTTGTCTGTCGTCGTCGCCAATGCGTTAGTTTGGTTGTCCTTTTAGAATCAACTTACGGGGCCACATGTCCTACCCATTTTCCTTTCAGTCCCATAATACGTTCCATTCTATCCATCACTTTAGTTCATTGCCTGATATCTTCGTTTCTTTTCTGTCTCTGGAAGTAGTTTGCTCGTTCCAGAACTCTTTGCCGTTTTTTTTGTCATCGTCACCATTTCTAGTCAATGGGTCGCTACCAGAAGTATACAGGTGCATTTTTCATTTAAAGTCAATTGAAATTTCTGAATATCGGGATTATTTCGCTGGGCTAATTTTAATCTTCCCTTAATCTCATTTGATTATCTTTTTTTTTATTACATGCCCTAATCACATATGCTCTTTCAGCAAACAATCTAAGGCTACCGATTTACAAATTAAAATATTTTAGAGACATTTTGAATAAATATCAAATGTAAAAACTTGATTATGCATTAAGGGCTTTTTTGAAAAAAAAAAACAAGTTTCATATGCACTTCTCTCTAATAATTTCCACATTAGAAATATTAAGCGTTCCGTCATAAAATATATTTCACCACAACCTTCCAAAAACAATAAGTCCGAAAGCAGCACCACACTTGCCATTGTTGTCATTCCAATATCACTGACCACATATAAAAAGTTCTTAAGAAATATAACATCAACTACTTGTCCAAAAATCTTTCAACATCTTCGATCCGTCAAAGAAAAAATTCCGTTTGAGATACCAGGAGTTTACAGCATTCCATGCATATGCGGCAAACAATATATTGAAGAGATCGGACAAAAATATCAACCAGGCTCAAAGAACACGAAAGAGCCTTACGACTACGACAAACGATACCCCTAAAACTAAAATTCTTGAATGTAATCAAAGAAAAATTTGAGAACCTAAAGAAATCTATAAGAAGCCAAACCCTGTTAAGCCCGACTTACCAGTATGTAAATCAGTCGTCCGAGGTAATGGTCTTGCCCTTACTTCAGCAGCGCCCTCTCAAGTAATATATAAGCAGGTACCTAATAGGATGCGAGGCAGTGTCAGTTGAGTTGCAAAGAAGCCAACAGGATGTTTGTAATTAGTTGTAATTTCTAAATGGTATCATTAATGTTTTTTAACACACATCTCAACAAATGTATTCTATCTGTGAGTTTCGAAGCAATAAATTCCCAAACATAAATAAAAAAATGAAAAGAAATGAAAAAAATACAGTGGGTCCAAAATAAGCATACCTATCATATCGGATACCATAAGATATACTAAGATGCGTAAATTACAAAAAAAGTTGCAAAATTTACAGGCGAATGACGGGAGTTTTTGTTTTCTTAATAGCGCGTTATTGACAATTAAATTTGTTACTTTTCAATGTCAAATTTAAAGCAATATTTGTTTGTTTAAAATTTTTACATTATCTTAATTATGACTGTGTGGCAGGTTAAACTTTTGAAATGTGATTCCGCGCATCTTAAGGATTATAGGGAGAATCTGCATTTGTTTATTTTTGTAGATATACTTTATTGCGATGTATTATTTTCCATTTATAATTATCGTTGTCTACTAAATAAATGTATA